TATATATATATATATATATATATAATATATATTGCATATCTTTATATATTATTACGTTATTAATACATCGCACTCGTAGTACGTTTCTCTCACGTATATCGTCGTCATACCGTTATAAGTCGCATGTGTGTAGAGATATAACGCACGGAAACAACAAAATACGCCCCCATTGTTGTGCATATACACGTACATAACATACGCATACAATACATGCACGCATAATGCAAGCGCATTGGAACGGATTAATAATGTTTATAAGCTTCAGGGATCAGATAGTCGAGTCTAGAAGAGTAGTATACGCTATAATTAAGGAAACAAGGTGAATAGATTTTGATTCATGAAATGAAAAAAAAAGCATTAACTCTTGCATGAAAATCTAAAACACTAAAGTGTATGTATATGATGATCCTGATGATCTGATAGAGAGCGGTAGATGCAAGTCTACAATTTCAAGAAATCATCGAATATGAAAAGATATATATTTGATTATGTATTTATATGTTCCAAAAACTATCGCATCGTTTTTTTAATGATGGATTTTTACAAAAATTTGGAAGCAATGTTACCTTAATGATAATTTTCAAAAAATATCCAGTCGTGCGTGTATAGATATATAATATTAGAAAGTTGATTTTGTCACTGCTCTTACAGTCGTCTTTTATTATATTAGAGAGAGATTGCTTCCAAATATTATTACGTCCAGCAGTCGTTAAAAAATAATGCAGCTCTTTTTTTTAGACACCCTGCATACTCTTCTGTATACCTAGTGTATTTTATTTCTTATTAAGCCGATAGAAGTTAGTTTTCAAATATAAATAATTGTGTGTAGATACTCTTTAAGCTTCTGCGCATAAATATAGTTAGTTTTTAATTAATTATGCATCGTTATCGTTTTCTCTGTATTACGAAAACAAGATATAAAGATAATCGAGAAAAGGAATGAGAAAAATGATTGGATACGTGCAAATATCTTGTAGTATATATGGCATCAATATAACAATATAGACGCTAAGATGTATTGAAATGGATGGAAAGTAGTTAGATAACAAAGGTATAAATGGAGGCGCAGAGGAAAGCAAGCGATGGAAGGATGAAAGGCGCAGAAGAGAACAGGCGATGGTATCTTTAGGATACGATTAACGATTATCTAGCTCTTATACGGCAATTGCATCTTCTTTTTATATAAAATATACAAAAATATGTCGGAACGAATATTCACAGATCGGATATTAAAAGAGAGAGTCAATGTGTAATATAATATTCAATGTGTTAGAGACGCTTACAGTGGATCTTTGGTAAGTTCCTTCTGGTAGGCAATAGGTGATTGTATCGCCTTCAGGAAATCGCGCTGAGTTTGCAGGATAGCAGTGATGGTATCTACCCACTCCTGCCTGCGCGGTCCACTACTTTCTTCAGCTACACTACAAGAGAATCCTAGCCCAGGGTTTCGGGGATCCGTCGATCGAATGATAAACTTGTCTAGATCGTCATTCGAATCTTCCAGACTCATGTTATTTACCTACGTAAGTAAATATATAAGATATTGAAACTTGTTTAGAAACAAGAATGGTCAAACAATAGAAATGAAAAGTATTAATACGCGTCATCTTACCTGAATATGTGCTTTATATATGTAGACAGGATTGGTGAATTGCGTTTTCTTGCCGACAGTTTCGCTAAAGATGATATTTTGCTCAAAAAGAAAGACTTGCCATTCCCTTCCTCTCATCGTAATGTTTGATATTTCCGACACTAGAAGCGGGCCGTGTAACAAGAGTTTTCCCTGCGCCGTTATTTTACCCTAAAGAAAATTAAACATAATAAATTTTCAAGAATGTTTTTACCGCATATATAATAAAAAAAATAAATAAAAAATGAGAGCCAAGTGAAAAAGAGCAATACTCACGTCAAAACCTTGTAATCTCCCAACGTCCATCATATCGTTTGCAGCTTTAGGAATAACTCGCATGACATGAGCCGCCGCTCTGAGGCCTTCGATTTCCGATAACCTTTGAGTTCGTTCAGTGAGGCGCAGTGCCTCCCGTAGAAGAAGTTGATATTTTGTAATCCTTTGTACAGGCTTGATCAGCAAGTCGCAGAGCTGCAAACGATGCCCAAGTTTTTGCCTAAGTTCCTGTAACATATACATCTCTTTGATTAAATGTTTCCGTTTTGTGCGTAGCCGATTTAATTTAACTGATTACCTCGAAATAAGTATCTATATATTCGGATACAATGTATTCCGAAACGGGCTTGTTCTGACAATAAACCACGTACATGTGCAACTTTCGTTCGTAACGTTTAAAGAGAGGTCCGAGCTCTTCAGGACATTCCAAACAACGTTCCAAAGCTTTGAGGAAAAAACTGTAAAAAAAAAGGCCATAGAAGAAACATCGATGTGAACGTTTCGATAGTCGGGCGATCATCGCTAAAGGAGGTTTCAACGGTTGATCCGACTCACTCTCTGTGCCACTCGTAGATAGCTTCTACGTTACCAAAAACCATCTTATCTTTCCCAGCGCGTAGATCTTCCGGTAATGGAATCTCGCACTCGGGATTTCGCATTAGTGCCATGTAACCTTCGACTATCTGCTTCAAGTCATTGACATAATCTCTTTCGGTGTCCACCAGCTCGCGAATAACAAACTGCCGCTTTGCGATCGCGCTACTCTCTGGATCTGACTCGTCGGAAGTGATCGCGTTAATAGTCGCGTTACAATATTCCTCCTCGTTGCTTAACGTTAAAGATTTCCCATTAGGAGTTCGCATAAGACTATGTCTCTCCTGATTTTCTGTATGTTGCTCCTGTTAATGATACTTGGCATAGTACTTGGTGTAGTGCATATGACATGAACGGACTCTACTTACCATTCTCTCTTTGACGATCTGCTCGATCTCCGAAAGATCGGCCGTTGTGGCGCCGCCGCCATCGAGAATCTTTGTACGTTCCGACAGACTGGCAGACTATATTAAATGAAGCAATTAAGACACAGAGAAGGAAGATGTATGTCAAGATATGAGATGAACGATATGTGATCGAATCTTAACTCTCCTAAAGAGTAAGACGCGCGAATACTCACTCGTTTCCCGGGCAATTCACTCGGTATCGTAGATCCTGATGGACCATTTGCAGTCGCTACAAGTATCGATTCGGTAATAGGCTTCATCGGAGGTGGAAGTTCTAAATCGTCGTCAGCATCTTCGCCGTTCTGCTCCTGCAAACTCGTCACCACCGTGTCGTCGCTCTCCGTAACGTCCGCGTCCACGTCTACCTCAACCTCCTGCTGTTCCTCGCCTTCGCCCTCCTCTTCCTCTCCCTCGTCCTCGCCCTTACTGATTTCCTCACCTTCCTGCACTTCAGCCTCTGCTTCGAACGCCGCCTTGCTAGGCCGCCGATTATGTTCGACGTCGCTCGGTAATTTAAAGCGTTTGTCCGAGCCGCTTTTCTTCAAAGACGGTCCAATCAAAGGAGGTGATGACGTTGGCGCGGCTGTATTGGTTTTCTCGACTTTACCTTGGCTAAGTTTGCGTAAAGAAGGTGGGAGCCACTTCCGTCTATAAACAGAAACGCCCGGCCATGGTACGTGATTATCGTTGCACGTATGACATTTCGAGATAAGCGCGAGGCATTTAGACGACAGAGTTTCTATATGAAATGCTCACCCGCTGAAAACTCGCCTTTTGTTGCCAGGTGAATTTGTACTAGTTACCGACCCGCTACCGTCGCTTCCAGCGTTGTCTGTTGATTAAAAAAAAAAAAGAACAATTACTTTATGCCTTTTATTCCTAAAATTGCGCTGCAACTTATCAATTACCGCCGGTTATCGGAATAGATAAGAGGCGAGCGTGTGCGATCGTGCCGATTTGCGGTTCGCCGACTTCCTGCAGTTCTCCAATCCGGTTTTATATTTGATACGCGTCGCGCGATAATACATCGTTATTGTCGACTAATTGTAGAATCGAGTAACGTACTGGAAAGAAATTCACTTACCCGCATCCTCCATCGGCGACAGCACCGTGGATGAGAGCGCGGTCAGCGAGGATGTTTGTTGCGTCATCGACGGGATGCCGGTTACACAGCAGGTCGGTGGCAATGTATTGGCGGAAGTCGAAGATGTGACGGCAGTTTGCTGCTGCTGCTGTTGTTGCTGCGTTTGGATTGCTTGATTGATCTGCTGCTGATGATAAGGATGATGATGCGACTGTTGCTGCTGTTGCTGCTGTGGCTGGTGATGATGATGATGATGATGATGATGATGATGCTGATGCTGATACTGATGCGATTGTTGTTGCGTGGACGCTTTTCTGGACGGCGAAGTTTTGCAAGAGGCGGTTGGCGGTTGTTTCAGGGCGCTGGTGGGCACTAGACCTTCCGCGGCCGGCTCGGTCTGTCCGGGCGTGAGCGGCAGACGCACCAGGGTCCATTCGCCGGCGTTGGGCAAGCCACCAGTGGTGCTGGCGTTTGCGTTACCATTCTCCAGCACCTCGACCTGCTGCCCCTTTGTCACGCTGAGCTCTTTGGAGCCGGGCGCGGCCATATGATCAGCGACCACCCACGTCATCTCGACGACTCCAGTCTGAAATCCGGAATCACGCATCAAGGATCCTCAATTCCGCGATGGCGGAATACATTGCGCGCGCGGTTGAATATCGGGGCTGAGAAAAAGGGGGACAGGGAGAGGGCAATTATAGAAATGGGATAATTAGCGAATGTTAGTGTCTGTGTGCGCGCGTGCGTGAAAGCAGTAATAGCGGCCGCGACAGGGCGGGGGTGGGCAAGGGTGCAGGACATAAACCGAAAGCGCACAGGGAAGCAAGGAGAAGAGGAAGAGAAGAGTCTGCCCTCTTGCGCTTACGCAAGTGTAGACGGGTCGATACGATCGTCCTCTCCGTCGCGCGATCGAAGACTCTCTCGTTGGCGAAAGACCGATTGTCTTTGAATTTGCGGATCGACGGAGCGAGATTCCAGAGATCCGATTACTCATGCCCGAGTGATTTTGATTGTCGGATCAGTCTCTCTCTCTCTCTCTCTCTCTCTCTCTCTCTCTCTCTCTCTCTCTTTCTCTCTCTCTCTCTTGCGCGTCCTTCCGCGACGACACTTTTAAATCACACGCGGATTCCGGCGTTTTGAAAATAGCTAATGTCACGACACCGCAATACTTCGATGTTGCTATAAATATCGCGCGTGTGCGTGTATTGATGAAGCGTGCACATTTACCGCATCTGCAATAACACTGTTCATTTCTCTCTCTCTCTCTCTCTCTCTCTCTCTCTCTCTCTCTCTCCCTCCCCTCCCTCTTTCGTCAGGCATGATTATTTGCCTGACGTTTTCGACATTTCACGATCCGAAATAGAATTTTTCACGTGCCAAGTTTCTTCGTCGCGTAAACGAGGTGAAAAAGAGGAAAGAAAAATGGAAATATAGAATGAGAGAACATGGAGAAAAAATTTCACGAGTTCCAGGCAATCTGCTGGATGGAATCTTCTCGATTGATTCTTTCGAAGAATACGCGGAGTTTATTGAAATTTCATCGCAACGATCTTTCTCGAAGAGAGGGCGAGTGACGGAAGAAAAATTAAGTAAAAGGAGAGCTAAAAGCCGATCCGATAAAAAAAAGCTTGAGCAAGGCGCCAAGTACCTGGGCCAGGGATGGTTGACGACGCAAAAGTCGAGCCTGGAAGGAGCTCGGTGTATCAATGGTGTGTTGCCTGGAGAGAGTTACGTGCGACGGTGCCGCGGAGCCCTGGCGGAACCACGGCAGGGAAATCTTCCTGCGCGCCTTCTGGGCGATTGTTGCCGGTTTCCCGGCCGGTGACGTCATGATAAGGAATAGGAAGACTTGACCTTACGATCGGCGCGGCATGCAGTTACAGTCTTCAGAGGCACGAACGCAAATGCCGTGGCGCGCAGGAGGGCAGAAACGATGTGGTGAACAGCGCGTTGTCGTTCACGGAGCACATTCTCGAGCGCACGGCGATCCACACTGCATCCGCCATCGTCCGTTTTTGTATTTTCTTTTTCTCCCCTTTCCTCCCCCAACTTTCTTCCTTTTCTTCGGCCTCCTTCGGCAAGAAGGTCAGGGTTTTACCGATTCGCCTAGCGTCTCGCAAATCTTGCAATCACCGGTAGATCCCTAAATGGATCCATCCGACCCGGGAGTCGTGCCTGTACTGATACAACTGATCTGACTGGTCAGACTGATCTGCGTCCCGTCGATCCCGATCCGTCCCGACCCGACCCGAACCGAACCGAACCGACCGTGCGAAGTGGTGCAGAGTGATGCGGAGTGACAAGATTATAACTAACCCAATCCAACTTGCGCCCCACCCAACCCTGCGCAAGTATACTAGCTACCGCGGCCTTTCCAGTCATTCCCACTATTTCGCATTATTCCCAGTCTTGCGGTCATGTCCCTATATTCTCTATCGCAGGGGAGATCAACTCTGATTCGGAAGCGATCTCGTTCTGAGAATGAGAGTGAGTGAGTGAGAGAGAGAGAGATATCCAATTTTTATAAACTCTGAAGAAAACGAAGAATAATATTTACAGTCTGCATCTTGAAGACAAATGTATCGGAAATAGTAAGGGCGGATGAAAATGATCAGGAGACTGTAGCCTTCGCGCAAAATGTTCTCATGAATCTATGCTCTTTGTCATTCATTGATTATTTTGCGATTAATCTACATTAGTCAACAAAATTTTGGTAATACCTACATTCTTATGCTGCCTTATCTTTGACTCTCTGTTTTATATATCTAATTATATTATATCTAATTTTCATAATATGTTATTTTTGTGATATTCAAAAGAATTTTCTTTTTGAAAATCTAAATGGAAAATTCTTCGTGTAGATCTTACATAAGTAAATGCAATTTCGTTATGCGTGACATTACGAAATCACAAAGAAGATGTGTTTATAAAAATCTTAAAGAAACTTACAACTTATATTTTTCAATTAGTTTAGTTGAAAATCTGGTTTGAGATTCTCATGTGTGTATATGTTTTAAAAGCAGATATTTTTATTACAAATGACATAAAAAACGATTAAAAATCATTTCATTTTTGAGTAACAACAAAAAATTTTATTTATTGACTAGGGTAATTAAAGATTTTGTACGTTTTTGAAGTACAGTCAAAACTATCTTTATATACGAGTATTAGCAGATACGACTGTCAAAATGCCATCATCAAAAAGCGACTGAAACAAATATGACTCGAGATTGGAGTAATGTAATAATCACTATTTTGGACATTTAAATATTTTCTTCATCTGTTATAACTTGCGAAGCAGTTTTATATTTTTTAAATAAAAATAATGCATCACTATACATGATATATACTGGAAATTTATACAATATATAGAAAAGACGCTGGAGTGATAAAAGTCCTGTTGAATTGTCACGAGTCGCGTAAAAAATTAAAAATTACGAGTTTTATTTAAAAAAAAAATATATATATATATATATAAAGTAAAAAAATGATGCTTTACCTTATCAGAATCTGTAGTGTTAGTCGAACCGAAGGAAGCTAAGGAATTTCTGTCAAGATTTTCCACACTCTCGTCCAAGGATGCGCACTCCTCTAGATCTCTGCTGGAACGTTGACTAGAGCTCTTTTTAGCAGGGCTCTTGGGCATATTTTTGCCTAAGAAGGTCTCCTGTATCACCTCGCGTAACCGCATCACCCACAGCTGTTTCGCGTCCATCGAGTTGGCACGCAATACCACGCGTGTGTCGCTGGTCGGTGCTCGTCCTGTCCATACCGCGAATTTGCATTCGTCGCCTTCGATATGTTCGGTCACGCCCAATTCGGAAGTCAACAGGCGATTTTTATAAACGTACTTCACCTAGACGGACCATTTTCATACTGTGATATTATATATGCACGTATGTGTAAAAGAAATTTTTTTACTTGACGAAAAAGAAAAAGTTGGGTGCCAACCTTTCCTGCAGAATCTTTCACTTCCTTTGTAAAAAGAAGATACAATTCGAAAAGAAATATATGACGATCTCTTCCTTTCCTGATCAATTGTTTTGGGTCCCACACTGTGAACGAATCTTGCAATACAACGTCACCGAGCGCATCTATACTAACGTCGCAACCTTCCAATAGACTTAAATGTAAGGCATCGTTAGCTTTTTTAGGCACATTTAACATCACTTCTAATCCTTCTTTTATTTCGCCTTGTCCTTCTTGGCAACAAGCCTGAAG